GGCTGCAGGTCATGACAGTGGCATGATCGTATTTAAGTTAGAGAGGGAACGTCCAGCCTTTGCTGTGAGTGGTGATTCTCTGTTCTATGCTAAGGATCGCTTCTTGCGATACTATGAGTTTTCAACCCAAAGGGACACACAAGTTATTCCAATTCGACGCCCTGGTTCCACCACTTTAAATCAAAGTCCGAGGACTCTTTCGTACAATCCTTCAGAAAATGCAGTTCTTATTTGCTCAGACTTGGACGGGGGATCTTACGAATTGTATTTGATACCCAAAGACAGCATTAGTAGGGGTGACAGTATGCAAGATGCAAAGAGAGGTGTTGGAGGTTCAGCTGTGTTTATGGCACGAAATAGGTTTGCTGTGCTTGACAAAAGCAACAACCAAGTCTTGATTAAGAATTTGAAAAATGAGGTTGTTAAAAGGAGTGGTATTCCTTTTGCTGTTGATGCAATATTCTATGCCGGAACAGGTAATTTGCTGTGTAGGGCAGAGGACAGAGTGTCTATATTTGACCTCCAGCAGAGGATTGTTCTTGGAGAGCTTCAAACCCCCTTCATCAAGTATGTTGTTTGGTCCAATGACATGGAAAGTGTTGCCTTGCTCAGCAAACACGCCATTATTATTGCTAGCAAGAGGCTTGTGCACCAGTGTACTCTTCATGAGACAATTCGTGTAAAGAGTGGTGGCTGGGATGACAACGGTGTTTTCATTTACACGACTCTAAATCACATAAAATATTGTCTCCCTAATGGAGATAGTGGGATAATCAGAACCCTAGATGTTCCTATATACATTACGAAGGTTTCTGGAAATACCATCTTTTGCTTGGATCGGGATGGGAAAAACAGAGCCATAGTTATTGATGCCACCGAATACATTTTCAAGTTATCCCTGTTTAAGAAGAGATATGACCATGTTATGAGCATAATAAGGAGCTCACAGCTCTGTGGGCAGGCAATGATTGCTTATCTGCAACAGAAGGGGTTCCCCGAAGTTGCTCTCCATTTTGTGAAAGATGAAAGAACCAGATTCAATCTGGCCCTAGAGAGTGGGAATATTCAAATTGCAGTGGCATCTGCTACAGCAATTGATGAAAAAGATTACTGGTATAGGTTGGGGGTGGAGGCTCTTCGTCAGGGCAATGCAGGTATTGTGGAGTATGCCTACCAGAAGACTAAAAATTTTGAGAGGCTATCTTTCCTTTATCTCGTAACTGGTAATATGGAAAAGCTGTCAAAGATGCTGAAAATTGCTGAGGTTAAGAATGATGTCATGGGTCAGTTCCACAATGCACTGTATCTAGGCAATGTCCAGGAGCGTATTAAGATCTTGGAGAACGTTGGCCACTTACCCCTTGCTTACATCACAGCTTCAGTTCATGGCCTACATGATGTTGCTGAACGGCTATCTGCTGAGTTGGGAGAAAATGTTCCAACCTTGCCGCAGGGGAAAGTACCCACTCTTTTGATGCCCCCAACGCCAGTTATGTGTGGTGGTGATTGGCCTCTTCTTAGAGTCATGAGAGGTATATTTGAAGGTGGGTTGGATAATATTGGCAGGGGAGCTGCAGATGAAGAGGATGAGGCTGCTGATGGTGACTGGGGTGAGGAGCTGGACATGGGTGACGTTGATGGCTTGCAAAATGGAGATGTCACTGCTGTATTGGAAGATGAGGAAGTGGCTGAAGGAAATGAGGAAGGGGGAGGATGGGACCTTGAAGATTTGGAGCTCCCCCCTGAAGCGGACACACCAAGGGCTTCGGTTAATTCTAATTCCTCAGTTTTTGTTGCTCCAACTATTGGCATGCCTGTAAGCCAGATTTGGATCCAGAGATCTTCTCTTGCTGCTGAACATGCAGCAGCAGGAAATTTTGATACTGCAATGCGCTTGCTGAACAGGCAGCTTGGAATAAAAAACTTTGCTCCCTTGAGACCCATGTTTCTTGATCTTCACACTGGCAGTCACAGCTATCTACGTGCATTTTCATCTACTCCAGTGATATCACTTGCCATTGAGCGCGGGTGGAATGAATCTGCTACCCCAAATGTGAGAGGCCCGCCAGCACTTGTGTTCAATTTTTCTCAGTTGGAAGAGAAACTCAAAGCTGGTTACAAGGCTACAACAGCTGGGAAGTTAACTGAAGCTCTTAGGCTCTTCCTTAGTATTCTTCACACAATTCCTTTGATTGTTGTTGATTCAAGGAGGGAAGTTGATGAAGTTAAGGAGTTAATTATAATAGTGAGAGAGTATGTTCTGGGATTGCAAATGGAGCTGAAGAGAAGGGAAATTAAGGATAATCCAGTACGTGAACAGGAGCTTGCAGCTTATTTCACACACTGCAATCTTCAAATGCCTCATGTAAGGCTTGCATTGGTTAATGCAGCGAGAATTTGCTTCAAGGCAAAGAACTTTGCCACTGCAGCTAACTTTGCCAGGCGGCTATTGGAAACCAACCCCACCATCGAGATTCAAGCAAAGACAGCCAGGCAAGTGCTGCAAGGAGCAGAGAGGAATATGACTGATGCCTCTCAACTGAATTATGATTTCAGAAACCCATTTGTGACTTGTGGGGCAACATATGTACCAATTTACCGAGGACAGAAGGATGTCTCTTGCCCGTACTGTAGCTCACGGTTTGTGCCAACTCAAGAAGGGCAGCTCTGTACTGTTTGTGATCTTGCAGTGGTTGGGGCAGATGCTTCAGGGTTGCTATGTTCTCCTACTCAGGTTCGATAGTCAAGCTGCTACTAGGAGGATTCATCCTTTTGGCTGAAGAAGAGTTTATGTTCATTGGTTTATACCTGCCAGTTAATTGGTAAGAAATGCGGCAGAAGATTTAACTTTCAAATGAATTGTTTGTGATGTCTCGTTTTCTCAGTCTTTCTTGTCTCTTGGATCTGTTGAGTCTATGGATTCAAAATCGTTTGTGAAAATACATTATGATTTTTATTTTCTGCTGTGGCACCAGACCAGTCATTCTCATCTATAGCAATGTGTTTTTTGTTTTCTGAAAGTCATGAAGATGAATGTACTACTGTTTTCTTTGATAACAATGATGGTCATGGTTGTTGGGACATGGAAATGTTCTATTTCATGCTTGTACATCTTTGTTGTATCTGTTTCATGCATGGGTAAATTCGATCGTGTTACAATTCTTATATTTACTACGTTATCCCACTCATAAAGTTATAAGGGCTTGGCAGATAATGTCCTTGAACTCTTCTTCTTTTGGTGTTTCATTTTTAGTTTGGCTTTTTATTTTCGATTTGTTTATCTGATTGGCTTTCTATTATCATCTTGCTTGGATGCTCTCTTTCTTCATTTTGCTTCTTCTCTGGGTTTCGATGTTTTTGACATGTAGATAATAAATAGCTAATAAGAGGGTCACGGACTAGTTCATGGATATTGTTTTTCAGCTTATCACAGTGGAACCTATATGGAGCTGTTAAACTAATAACTTGAACGTGTAATTGCGGAGGTGGTCTTGTCATACTTCTTTTTTTCTTTTCTTTGTTAGTTATTCTATATTGTTTTATGTGTCTGGTTTTGTATTCACTGTTATAATCAGCTGTGTGGTCTTGTGGTTCTGTTCTGTTGTGCTTTTCAGCTTCTTGTGCATTTGTGTTATTTTTCTTGTAGAGTAGATGTAGTAGAGTACGATTCTTTTCTGCACGTCTGAGGTTTTTCGCGTGTTCTATATCATAAAGTTGTTACACTTGTGTTGTAGTTGTAGTTCAACGTGTGTTCTATGTGCAATTTTCACTCTTGACATTGTTCTCTTGCAAAACCATTTTATTTTTAAATTTCACACTTAGCCATTTCATAATAGTAAATGAGACTGGGTCTTTCTTCGAAGTTTGAACGTACACTTTAACTTTGTGCCTTCTATTTTTTGTTTTGTAGACAACCATGAGCTTTGAGAAGGGAAGGGGGAGGACAAATGTTCTGTTTTTGGCAACTATGTTGCTATTTTTGTTTTTGTTTTTGTTTTTGTTTTTTTTCAGACGCAGGCAATGGTGTATTACTCCTAGTGAACATTTTGAATCTAGTTTGAGCAAATTTTTTCATTGAGATGGTGTTATGTAATATTAAGCAGAGTATGCGCCCAGAATTTTTAATGGTATAGTTATTTTTAAATGGTCATGGTTACAGTTTGTTGTTCTTATAAGTTAATCATACTTGAAAGATTATTTTTAGCCAAATCAATTGATCTCGGATTAGTTCCAGGGTTAAAAGTGTTTCAACTGTTCTTGGTCGTAGACCCCAAAGAGAGATCGAAATGCCGATGGTAAGGAATTGGTGTTTACTTTTATTAATTAATTTGTCACACTGGCCCTTTTATTTATTGTTAATACAGAAATGATTTTATTCAAATTTCACTGATGGATACATTTATTTAAGCCACTCCCTCTGAATAATTTTGAGGGAATTTAACATATCAATAGCAAATGGATGGGTGTTTATTTAGCGTAGGCGGTAGATTGGCATGACAAGCAAGTGTTTGCCTTTTGACAGCGATAAGCCGACTCTCTCAGTCATGTACACATCTTCAGGTTTCAGGCCAATTGGGAGGTCCCAGTTAAAGCAGTGGACCAAGTTTGCGAGAACCAGCCGGACTGTGGTTAGCCCTAATTGCATAGCGGGGCACCCTCTTCGACCAGACCCAAATGGTAGGAGCTGGAAGTCATATCCTCGAAGGTCAACATTGCCATCAATGAACCTTTCAGGGTAAAATTCGTCCACATTTTCTGACCAGACATTAGGATCTCTCCCAATAGCCCAAATGTTTATAAGTTTGTCGATTTCTTGGGCATGTCATGTCCTTCAACCGTAATGTCCTCCATGGATGCATGTCGGATGAGCAATGGTGAAACTGGGTGTAACCTAAAGCTCTCCTTGAGCACCATGTTCAAGTAACCCAGCTTTGGCAAATCATTCTCTTCCACCATTTGGTCCGTTCCAATCACACTCTGGAGCTCTTGCTGGAGATGCTTCAAACTTTGGCGGTAGCTGACGTATCGAAGGCACCTGAAATCATGTCTAGTAAGATGGCCTTCACATTTGTGCGGTCAATCATGTAGACTTGCTCATCGTTGGGATTCAATGGTTGGTGCATTAACGAAAGCATCACGTCCACAAAGTCCTTGTGACGATGGCCTTGGTGTGCTTGCCCACTTTTAGAAACTTCTTGGTGTTCCCCAATTATCTTCTCCAAGAGTTGGTCGATTGTCTTGCCAAGTCTCTTCATGCGCTTGGTCAATCCCTATATTATATTAAGAGGAAGATACGGTTCAGATACATATATATTCCTTAGTTAGGAATCAATCAATGACACAGTTCTAGTATGAGCATGGACAAAGACATACACGATGCATAGGGTGAGACCCATACGCAGGGCCTCGCATGTGGGTCCCACTCAATGTGAGAGGGATGTTACCCTATTTCGAATGTCAAGCAATCTTAAAGTCTCACATGTAGCGGTGCTCTTCTTAGTGTATGGATTTTTCCTGAAATATGGTTATACAGTATTTAGCAAGAATTTAAATCTACATATAAAATTAACAATTGCTTGAGAGCAACGCCAAGCATGAGCATGAAGCCAACGGAAACAAATTACATATTATAGACAGGAGGATACGGGCCAATCTTTCATTTGTATTATTATTGAGTGTTATGCATGATCAAGAACAAGGCGGCGAATGTCATGATTGTGTGAGAACTAGTCAAAGGAGTGAGAACTAGTACTACTGGTTGGCTGATAGATAGATGGATGAGTGAGCGTTCCGACAATCAACAACATACCTGAAAATCGAATGGACTGAGGAAAGGCAAACAATCACTAATGTTGACTGCTCCTATCAACAACACGAGCTCCTCAATAATTCCCTTCATATCACACGTATCATCATTTTTGCTCCCCAACACCATCCTAGACATTATGTCCTCAATCAGCTCACCAACCTTCTCACTAAGATCCACAACTTGGCCCTCCGCTGCGACTTTCTTCAGCGACTCAACCAACAAACCCACCTCTTCCCTCCTCAATGGAGCAAAAGTCTCAATCTTCGATGGACAAATAAGCTGCAGCGTGCACAACTTCCTAATATGCCGCCAGTACGGACCATATTCACTGAAAGCCATGTCCTTTGAGCCGTAAAACAAGTAATCGGAGGATTGGACTTTGGGGCGGCTGGCAAAAATGGTGTCATGGGATTTCAAGAATAACTCTGCAGCTTCAGGGGATGAGACCACTATGGTGGTTTTGGTGCCTAGACGCATGGACATTATGGGTCCATATTGTTTGGCCAAGTCTCGAAGGCTGCGGTGTGGGAGGTTGCCTAATATATGGAGATTACCAATGACTGGCAGCGCCCAAGGACCAGGAGGCGGTTTCTGGTGTCTCGGCCTCTGTATGAGAGACCAGAGGAAGGTAAGAAAGAGGAGGAGGATGGCTATAGCTGTAGCAGTCATTCTGGCTTTCTGTGGTGTGAGAGAGAGTGTCGGTGGACATACATTTGCTCACAAGGAGGTGTTTTATAAGCCTAAACTATCACACATGGGTGGAACCACAGTGGAAAAGTCACGTAAGACAATATTAAGGCAACTCAATACTCCCCCCTCACCCTCCCTAACAATGACAAAAATATATGAAGGCTAAACTATCAAAATCCCACAGACTAATAGGGATAATTATCCAGATGTCGCCTCCTCGCCTCCTAGTGGCTCGTCAGATCTTGTGGGGAAAGACCAGATAAATGGGGTGGTTATGGGGTTGTTGATTTTGAGGAGACACAGAGATTAATATATATATAGGGGTGGGGCCGGGTTCTCCAGAGGAGGATAAGGTGCGTTTTTTAGAGCTTCCTAAATTAGTCTTCCTATTTTTTGTTTCAGATATAGGTCATTTGACATTTATTATTTTTTTTGTTGTATCGATTTTACCTTTTAAAGAAAACACGTTGAAAATCTAAAACTAGATATAAAATTAACATTTTAGGTGGGGGCTGAGGTTGAATCTTTATATTGTATCCATTATAATAACACTCCTATTAATAGGAATGAAAAGTGATGGATTGCAGTTAAGGAAAACTCAATTTGGAGGGTAAGCGAAATTTACCATTGATTATAACGAAAATAGATGAATGCTGCAAAAATCAACATGCTTTCTTTACGTACCTGAAAATCAAATGGACTGAAGAAAGGCAAATAATCACCAATGTTGACTGCCCCTGTCAACAACATGATCTCCTTAATAATTCCCTTCACATCAAACGTATCATCATTTTTGCTCCCCAACACCATCCTACACGTTATGCCCTCAATGGATTCATGCTCACCAACCTTCTCGTTAAGATCCACAACTTGACCCTCCGCTGCGGCTTTCTTCAGCGACTCAACCAACAAACCCACCTCTTCCCTCCTCAATGGAGCAAAAGCCTCAATCTTTGATGGACAAAGAAGCTGCAGCGTGCACAACTTCCTAATATGCCGCCAGTATGGACCATATTCACTGAAACCCATGCCCTTTGTGCCGTACGACAAGTAGTCGGAGGACTGGACTTTGGGGCGGCTGGCAAAAATGGTGTCATGGGTTTCAATAATAGCTCCGCAGCTTCAGGGGATGAGACCACTATGGTGGTATTGGTGCCTAGACGCATGGACATTATGGGTCCATATTTTTTGGCCAGGTCTCGGAGGCTGCGGTGTGGGAGGTTGCCTAGCATATGGAGATTACCCATAACTGGCAGCGCCCAAGGACCAGGAGGCAGTTTTCGGTGTCTCGGCCTCTGGATGAGAGACCAGAGGAAGGTAAGAAAGAGGAGGATGATGGCTATTGCTGAAGCAGTCATAGTTAGACTGATAGGACGTGTGAGAGACATTATTCGTGTACATATATTTGCTCATACTTAGACTGATAGGGGTGTTTGATATTTATACAGCCGGATGACCACCCTATGTTTTAAAAAAGGGAGTTTTACTAAAACACCCAAAATGGGGGCTGAAATTATAAAAAAACCCAACACCCAAAACACTTTATAAACACACCCAAAACCCATCATTACACACACTCAAAACTCATTTATAAACACACCCAAAAAATATACAATTGTTGATTTTGGGGTTGATTTTGGGTGTATTTCTATGTTTAAATAGTATTTGAATTTTTTTTATAAATACATGTCTAGGATTGGGTTTATTTATAAATTTGTATTTAAAAATGATTTTTTTTTTTTTTTTTTTTTTTTTTGTATTTGTTTATTTGTGCGCGTTGGGTCTCATCCAAAAAGATTCAACGGCTGAGTTTAACTTGACCCAAACATGCCAAATGGGGTCAAATAATGCAGCTGAAGACCAAATGCAAGTGTACTTATTTAGCACATATGTAAAAGTCAAATTCATATGAAGGTAGGAGGAGTTTTAAAGAGGAATGAATGCTTGAAGAGTTGTAGCAGAATGGGCGGTTTGAATGACGCCAGTCGTTGTAATTGTGATGTAGCAAGTATGCCGCCGTGCATGATCCTAGAACAAAAAGAGATCTAAACAGTAAGAAATTGATGTTTATTTTATCCTAAAAAGATCCCTCAAATAATTTTATTTGAAAGACGCCATTTAAGCCTTACAAAGATAAGGATTCTTTAATGGAAGCTCTATATATATATATATATGTATATATCATGCTCTTGATACATTTCGTTAATCCACTCCTTCTAAGTAAGAGTTTAAGGGAATATAATTAAGCATATCAATTACAAATAGATGAATGTCTCTGAAGTCTGATCTGAACTATGAAAGTTGATTGCATAGGCGGTAGGTGGGCATGGCAAACAAGTGTTTGGCTTTTGACAGCGATAATCCGAATTTCTCAGTCATGTCCAAATCTTTAGGTTTCAGGCCACTTGGGAGCTCCCAGTTAAAGCAGTGGACCAAGTTTGCTAGAGCCAGACAAACTGTAGTTAGGCCTAGTTGCATAGCAGGACACCCTCTTCGACCAGACCCAAATGGTAGAAGCTGGAAGTCATGCCCTCGAAGATCAATATTGCCATCAATGAACCTTTCAGGGTAAAATTCTTCCACATTTTCTGACCATACTTTAGGATCTCTCCCAATGGCCCAAGTGTTTATAAAGATTCTCGATTTCTTGGGTACGTCGAATCCTTCAACTGTAATGTCCTCCATGGATTCATGTGGGATTAGCAATGGTGCAACTGGGTGCAGCCTCAAGCTCTCCTTGACCACCATGCTCAAGTAACCCAACTTCGGTAAGTCACTCTCTTCCACCATTCGGTCCATTCCAATCACACTCTGGAGCTCTTGCTGGAGATGCTTCATTACCCTGGGATGCCTCAAGAGCTCCGCAAGGGTCCAAACTATGGTGGTAGCTGAAGTATCGAAGGCACCCGAAATCATGTCTAGTAAGATGGCCTTCACATTTGTTCGTTCCATCATGTAGACCTGCTCATCGTTGGGATTTAATGGTTGGTGTATCAATGAAAGCAGCACGTCCACAAAGTCCTTGTGACTATGGCCTTGTACTTGCCCACTCTTAGAAACTTGTTCATGTTCCCCAATTATCTTTTCGAAAAGTTGGTCAATTGTCTTGCTAATTCTCTTCATGCGCTTGGCTAATCCCTATATGATAGGAAGATACGGTTAAGATATATAATATTTCTTAGGATCAATGATACAGTAAAATTGCTAGTCCTCGAGAGACACATAGAAAAGAAAAGAAAACTAACTGCACCAAAAACCTACAACAGTTGAACAGCAACTTCCTATAGTTTAGCCTCAGAGCAGTCACACACATGACAATTAGAAAACACAATGCGCCCAAATTCAAATGTTGTTTTCAGTACTTGACGAAAACGATCACAACAACAATCAAAGATGTCAAGAAAACATATGGAGGTAGAATATTTCCCTCAAAAGAAAATGCGCAGGCTCAAAAACTCCCAATGGTATAAGTCTCCTCCACTAATTATCATGCGACTCTCCAACTCATGCAAATTCCTTAACCAAGAAAGGCATCAACATAGCTATGTGAAAATGTATTGTTTCTAGCATAAGCATCATAGAAAAAATCTGGAAAAAGTATAATTACTACCCAAAACTGACACATAATTTTCATCAAAAATTACAAAGCCAGTATGGGTTTCAAAGCATTTCTCAATTGCTTACGCCATGTAGAAACTGGAGCTCATCATTACACTACCTGGCCATATATAATTTTCATCATATATATCTTTTACGTATTATAATATGAATACTACCTGGCCGGCCGTTCAAACCTGATTGGAGCCATATGCATAAGAACCTTGCTATTAACGAAAATAATTAATATAATGTGAGAAGGATATGGCCAATCTTTCATTTATTTCATATTATTTGTGATTTTGGGTGCAGGTGTGTACAGGAAAATGGCGACGAAAGTGACAATTAGTAATTGAAAAAGTCCAAAAGCTACGCGTTGAGAATTGACAATTAGTAATTGAAAAAGTCCTGAAATTTGTCTTTACTTTGTTGACACTAATGATATATAATCTAACAGTGCATTAATTCATGTAATAATAATAATAATTAAGTTTGGTAAGGATATGTAAAGCATACCTGAAGATCAAGTGGACTGAGGAAAGGCACGTAATCACCAATATTGAATGCCCCTGACAAGAACAGAGCTTCCTCAATAGTCCCCTTGAGATCAAACATATCATCATTTTTACTCCCCAAAACCATCCTATATGTTATGTCCTCAACAAGCCCACCAACCTTCTCACTAAGATCCACCACTTCACCCGCTGCCGCGGCTTTCTTCAGCGACTGAATAAACAACCCCACCTCCTCCCTTCTCAGTGGAGCAGAACCCTCAATCTTTGATGGACAAAGAAGCTGCAGAGTGCAGAGCTTCCTAATATGCCGCCAGTATGGACCATATTCAGTGAAGGCCATGCCCTTTGTGCCGTAGGACATGTACTCGGAGGCTTGGACTTTGGGGCGGCTGGCAAAAATGGTGTCATGGGTTTTCAAGAAAAGCTCTGCAGCTGTGGGGGAGGAGACCACTATGGCGGGTATGTTGCCTAGGCGCATGGACATGATGGGGCCATATTTTTTGGCCAGTGTTGGAGGCTGCGGTGTGGGAGGTTGCCTAGCATGTGAAGATTGCCAATGATTGGCAGTGCCCGAGGCCCGGGAGGCAGTTTTGGCCTTGAGGAGGAGGCAGTGATTATGGTGTGGATGAGAGAGCAGAGGAAGGTGAGAAATACCAGAAGGATGGCTATTATTGTTGGACTCATTCTAGCTTTCTGTGCTATTACTCCATACAAGGTGTTTGATATTTATTTATACAGTTCCAGCCGTACTCCACCACTCTTTTTACATTTAGCCGTTGGATCAAATCCAGACAGATTCAATGGCTGAGTTTAAGTCGACCCAAGTACACAACATGGGGTCAATACACATCTCTTCACATGGCCCGCCTTTAGATTTTGACAGCCCCACGCGCAAAATTTTGGCCCGTCTTGAGATCTTTAAGTAGCAAACCAACTTTAATAGACGCACAATTATGAAAATTACGTGCGGTGATACCAATTGCACATCCCCATTGCTAGTCTTTTGCTTTTCACTTGATCTCGATTATGGAATGACATTTATTTTGTTTTTCAAAGAACCTAACCAGTGAGTTGTAACATCATGTCGATAAAAAAAAGAAAAGTAGCCAACGAGGTCCAACCTAGTTGAAAAGAGCCTTGATTTACTGAGATCACAAGTTTGAATTCCTACGGTATTATAATTTTGTGTGTGGGAAATCTCTTTTCGTATAATTTTTAGACTATCACTTATATTAAAAAAGAAAAAGAAAACTAGTAACACTGTGCACACAAAACATGCAAAATAACAATTTATTTCCATGTAAAAGAGTAAAATTGTAATGTATTTCTTATGAATATCTTTATCTTCTTGAATTAAGGTACCAAGTTTCTCATAAAATTTAAATTTGGCATGTAACAAAATAATTACGAAGAAGGAAAACAGAACTTAGTAATTTACATAAATATAATATATATTTTTTCTTTCGATCGTTTAATGAAACTGGCATTGCAGATTTATTTTCTCCTAACAAAAGTGGCATGGAGATTGAAAGGTGATTACAAAACAAACATAATAGTAAATCTTCATCAATGGAAATTACAGTGGTATATATAAACTAAACTGGGGCGATTTGAGAGATTTTATTTCCCTTGCGGAAGAAACACATTTATGAAATTATGATTATGAATCATAAACAACACTCATGTTTCAACCAGGAAACGAATGATTGAAATCCAAAGCAGCCCCTGCCCCTGCCCCTTGCGAGAGAACGAGCTTCAGTCAGAGGCTGAATTGATCTCAACTTGTCCTTCATTTTCTATCCACTGAACCAGATCTCAGCCTCCTGCTCGCTCTCTCTCAAATCAATCTCTTTCTGTGTGTTTGTGAGAGAGAGGGAGAGAGGACCGTTGACCAATGGCTCGGATCTTCGAGCACTTGGTGGTGTGCGGGATCGGACCCGAGATTCGGACCCTGGACGGTAGCAAAGGCTTCCACGGGTTTGGCACTTATTACATGCCGTCACTTCTGGACCAGTACCCTCCTCCCAACCACACTCTCTACCCTCCTCCACCTCCTCAGCTCCCAACCGTAAGTAACCAGTCTTCGCTGCTTTCTATTTCTGCTTTTCTTCTGTTTGTTTTCCGAAATCCATTTCTTCGTTCAATTTTAGCTGCGCTTTATGAATGATCTGGATGATTGTGTGCTTTTCTTGTTTTCTGTTTCAGTGTGTGTTGCCAGCTGGTGTTTTGTTCTATTCATCAGGCTA